CACTCAGGTTAAAAGGAACAAGTAACTGGTGGCTGCCCTTCTGCATCAGGAGGCTGGGTGGGGAAGCTAGATACCCTACACTATCCTCTCTCTCTCACGCACTACACACACTTTATATAACACACATCTGTAAAGGTTGGGGTGTCTCTCAAAGATGGATTTCACCAGCCCTCTCATGCTCCTCAGGCAGGCCCTGTTCCTAATAGGGTGGTCATGGTCCACAAGGTAGATTACCTTTGGGGCAGCAAAAAACTTTTGCAGGCCACTTAAAAATGCTAAGGCCAACTCTGCTTGTTAAAGTTTCCAGCCCCCTTTAGGAAACAGGAACAGCAGCTGGCTTAGTCCCCTCATAGCCATAGCCAGGGTGTACCTACTAGTGTTGAAGCCACAACAGCTCTGCAAGAGGCACTCCCTTCAAAAGCCCACCATCACTGCTAGGAGTACAGCAGTGAGACAATGTAGTTAGTCCTCACACTTTTTTCCTGTCAGTCACTCCAGATGTGAGGTGGAGGAAGGAGGCGGCAAGCCAACCTGCCACTCCACTGACCAGGAATCCCATCCACCTCAGGAACTAAAGAGAACATTTTTAAATAGACATTCAAAACCACCACCAAATGGGACCCACTCTTCATTGCATACCCACCCCACAGGCGGGAGCTGAGAGATGGCTGCCTTGCCTACCAGAGGCTACAGGACACCTCCACCACTGCTGTAAGGAAGAGAGATGCCAGGTCAGGGGAGCCACCTAGAACCTCCATGAGATGTTAGGGTGGACAAGAAGCATGATGGGCCTAGAGAGGTAGGGTGGAAGGACCAATGCATTTGAGGGTGGGAAAAGAATACTGGATTGATGGGATGTGGGTGGGGAGAGAATGGAATTGATGTGTGTGTGTTGTGGGGAGAACACAGAGAACAACTGGGGTAGAGGAGTCTTCTGCCCAGGGGATGTCACACGTACCACCAGCTGAGTTGGCAAATATTAAAGGAAAACCCTCTTTAAAGTGTTGGTAGCACCTCACTGTAGTTAGTGCCATTTTTCCTTGCTCTTATCCAGCTTGTGTTATGAAGGAGCTTTCTTGTTTCCTCTCTAGTATCTAGTACCCCAAAATCTTTTGCATCAGTTGCCAAGGTGGTTACATGGAAGTGCAACAGCAGCCTGTGCAAAAGATTCTGGGGCATATGCAATGCCAGAAGGCATCAAATTGCAGACAGCTGAACTAGAAACAAAGTCCCATTAGAGAAGAAATCAAAAGAGGACTGTAGAGGTAGAAGGCTATGCACAAGCCATGTTAGAAGGTAGGACAGAAGGCAAAGTAGGCTGCTCAGTTTAGGAAAGGGACAGAAGGGATTCATGGGACAATGTAATTTCAGGAGATTTAGGATGGGAAGGTGAACTGGGTCGGAACAAAACAATAAGATTGGTGTTGTATGATGGGAACTGTAGATGGCTAAGCAGGCCTGACCCTCCAGACACAAGTCTCTCTCCTCAGACGCCTCGATCTCTGAAAATATGCTTATTTCTGAAGCCAGACTATTTGGAAAATAGGTATTAAGCATTCTACGGTATTTTCAGCACTTAGCATTGCCATTACTGAATGGGAGGTTCCCAGCATCAGCCCTATGCTTATTCAGACTGCCAGTGATGAAAGATTAAAGCAGACAGAGGCTCAAAGATTGGGAGAACGGTTTGTATTTCATGATGTTTATTATTTGAATAAACCTGCATCCCTTTCTAATTTTATATGGGCTCTTATTAATTAATATTGCTTAAATTGAAAGTAAGGATCTAATTATGTATTTTAATAATAATTTCTCCCATCCCTCCCTCCCATTATCTTGTCTTGGCCCTGCAAATGCTTTTGTGCGCTTAAATGAGATTACTCATGTGCTTAAAGTTAAGTCAATGGTACTTCTCTAGTGCTTAAAGATAAACATGGGATTAGGGATTTAGTTTGTAAGGTCTTTGGGGCACAGACGGTCTCTTATTGATGTATGTGTTCATACAGTGCCTAACGAAATGGAGTCCTGAGGCCACCAGGAACTACCACAATGCAAATAATTAATAAAAGGGCTTTTTGAAGTTTCATGAAAATTCACAGAGCCCATCAAAAGTCTGATTTAATTCAGATAGTCTACAAATCATAGCACATGCTGATTTGCAGATAGACTGAAGATGGTGGCCAACTCCCTTTTCTCTGCTACATTTTATATTAATATACATGTGTGTGTCAGGGGGGCATGTATGCATTTCTTGACTTATTGCACATTTTACTGATTTATGTCACCCCACACTGTGGCAACATAAAACGGCACAAAGAACTAGATTGTGTAGAAAGACATTTTTGAAACAGGCAAAAAGTCATTTAATTTCCTGAAAGTTGTTAAATAATGGGGCATTTGTGAGTGCTTGCAAATTTTTAGCATTTACCTTCCTTTCAGTGGGAATGCAGTCCCCCCCAGCAGTGCATGTTGATCTGATTAATCAGATACTTTGAACTCAATGGATTTTTCAAAGTAAACAGCTATAGCAGGTAACAAAGTAGTAGCAATGTTCTGAAAAACTGCAGAAGATAATATGACAAAAAATATTCAGTTTTCAGTATTTAAGTGTCTTTAATTGAATTCCACTGTGCTAAAAGCATGGAGGTTCAGTACGCTCTGCTGCTGATTAGACTGAAGACTATAACTGCAGTAATAAGGGTTAAAAGTTAGGTCAGACAGAGGTCTCAGAATAAAAGATTTACAGATATAAAAGTCCCATGAAGATTTAGCATGGGATCTATTTGCATGTTAACATCACTGGAAGATTTTTTTTTTCCCCTCTACACCGTGAACACTGTCCTGAGGGAGAATGAGACACAAGATACAAATGAGAAAACAGTGGGAAAACGTAACCTAAAAAGAAATGGGTGAAACCTTGGGGCATCCCACACCTGTTTGTTTTCTGATTAACTGCAGTACCTTTTTCATAACCAGAATATAAAATGTATCTGTGCACTAAGACCCAGACAACCTCAGGGCTAAAAACGAATCATGAACAGAACAAAACTAAGCAACATGAAGTGGCTTAATTTAATCTCTGTACCCAACACACACTACTAAGGCATAGTAAAAGACCAGTTTGACAAGGACAGTCTCTTCTGGGGCAGCAATGGCAGCAGGGGGAATGCTATGAAGAGCTGCTAAGTGAAATATACTTTAGCAATACATATTATTGCACTGACTTTTTGAACTGACCCATTAACATAGTCTTATTAATTACAGAGAAAATATTTGTAAGTGACAAATTGGAACATGACAGTTTACACAAATCCTACAAAGCAGAAAAAGAATAAGCAATGTTGTCATATCAAACCTCTTCGAAGAACAGGATCACCTATCATGGCATTTGAAAAGAAAATTTAGGAAACAGGGATCCAAAATAAACCACATTACACTGCAGCCTCAATGTAGAGCATTAGAAAAGTCCAGGAGCTGAGCTATATAAATCCATTAATTTTGTCAATAACTTCTGTAATAGCAGCCTACAGAACATGCTTTTACTTGAGAATCCCTGCTCCTCAGCAGGCACTGAACGTCTAACGACAATGACATTTTACCTTTTTCTTTAAAAACTAAACAAAGGCCAAATTCCCCATTGTGTTACTCCAAGAAAATACATACAATCCAGTTCACAACCAACATTTTGCCGTCCTTTGGGGCACCTGTTTAACACAATTCTGGTAAGTATGAATGCGGCCTATATTTACTTCAGTAAATTTCACCCTCCCATTTCTCTGTCCATCCCCCCTGTCCCGCCACATGCTGAGATTCCACAACTCCCATAAAAGCCAATGGGAGTTAGAAAGATTAGTGAAATGCATCCCTGTGAAGAAGGCCTTATGCTGACCCCAGGCACCTTTTAAATCCTGCATAAGCCTTCAAAATAAACTGGCTTTCTGCACAGTGGTGAATTTCATCCAGTGTAAATTATACTTTCTATAACTGGACGCTGAGATAATTAAAAAATAAATAATAAATAATCTTACTGGTAGTATTGTAACTAACATTAACTAAAACTGTGTAAAGAAAAACCTAACAAAAATATCTTGGGACATATTATGCAATCAGTTTTTAAACAGAACTCCCCACTGACCTCAATTGAGATCGGTTTAAAAACTGGTCGCATGATCTGGCCTATTGTGTGCAACTCTCACACGCATTGGCAGTGTCACAAGACCAGGATTATAATTCCTCTATGTGAAGAAATCTCAAAAAGAAGTGAACACTGAACCAGAAGGCTCTAGTTTAAACTGAGTATTCTTTTTATATATAATGTTTTAAATAAACATAGTGCTTTGCTTTTTAAAAAAGGTCTCTGTTAATATGTTGCTGTACTACTGTATTTACTGTAGCTATGGGTGATGCATAGAAGAAGTGAGAGGAAAAGCAGAAATTAGAGTGGCAAGACTGTAAAATGGTGATCCCAGAAGAAACAGATCTGGAATCAGGACACATGAAGACGGGGAGGGAGATTTTTTTCAAGGAGCTATCAGGACACCCTCTACATTTTGGATCCTGTTACACAGCAATCCCTACAAAACCTTTGAGAGAGAATAAAATTCCCCCCCCCCCGCTTTTAAACAAGGCAGACAAGCATGTCATTAGTGACACATTTCAGAGGAACAGCCGTGTTAGTCTGTATTTGCAAAAAGAAAAGGAGTACTTGTGGCACCTTAGAGACTAACCAATTTATTTGAGCATGAGCTTTCGTGAGCTACAGCTCACCTCACGAAAGCTCATGCTCAAATAAATTGGTTAGTCTCTAAGGTGCCACAAGTACTCCTTTTCTTATTAGTGACACAAAAGCCCACAATTTACTTTGAGAACTGTTTAATCTCTAAGAGGTAAATAAAGTCTTTAGTTATTCAACAAAATGGGCTTCATTCACCATCCCCCAAACACAGAAAATGGGGGTGTGCTTTGTATTGTAACCAATAGGCTTTTATCTACCTTTAAAGTTCCAGTGAACAGATTAATAAAAGACAGACTGAAGTACAAACGATTTGTGAAATGGATTGGGGGAAGGAATAAAGGAAGCCACACAATGGTCTGGAAGCTGCAGAGCAAGGTAAATAGCATGTTCTGATATATTTAGTACAGTATAGGTTAATGCAGACCCCAGCAAATTATAGCCAGAAAGAAAGAACAAACAAAAAACATTTCTTGTACAGAAAGGTCTTTAACACTGTGAAGAGAGGGAGCAGAGCCAGTGCTTTAGGAGAGTCTCATTTCCCTGGTTTCCTAACTCTCTCCAATTCGGTTTTAAACCAACCCAAATCTATTTCTTCATCTAACCTGTAGCATTGGGTTAAGGGGGGGGCACGACGAGGGCCCTCTCCCCCAAGAAAAGGGAGAAACAAACACACCAGAAATAACCTCTCCTAGCCCTCAGGTGCTCACCCAAAGTTGATTTACTTGCAGGAAGGGGGTTTGGTTGCAGGGGTGGGGACAGAGAGGCTGCATCATCTCTGTAGTTTAAGGAGCATCGCTTGCTCAAAAAGAGCCCCCAAGGCGGAGCTGCACGTCCCTGGGGCCAAGGGAATGAAATTTCCCCCCTCTGGAGCCTGGACCTGCTGCACCAGAAGGGAAAAGCGAAGAGAGCAAAATACAAAGCGACTCCCAAGAACAACCCCCAAAGCTCCAGCCTCCCGCGGACTCCGCCGCCCTCCCAGGGACTAACCTTGTGCCTGCTGCGCCTCCATTGTCCAGGGGACGGTAAGGCCGGGTCGAGGTTGAGAAGGAGCCGCTGCCTGGCACCCACCCGCACCGCCCGGCATCCAGAGGAAAAGGCGCAGCGCGGCTGCGGTAACCGCCGCAAGTGGCCCCTGGTTACCGCTTCCCCCGCCCGACCGCCCTGGAGTCCGGAAGCCGCAGCCCCACGCCCCCTAGCGGCCAGACCCGGCCGGGGGCGGCGCGCTACACTCATGCTGCTCACCTGGCACCGGCCGATCGGCCTCTCCGCCGTCCGCTCCCCACAGGTGCTTGCACCGTGCGGGTGTCACTCCGGCCTTGAGTGGAAACAGCCGGGAAGCCACGGAATCCCCAGGCTTGGATTAAAAAACCACCACCACCAGCACAAGCTGAAAAGCGAGTTCCTGGACAGAAGTCTGCTATCGGGAAACCACCCCAATGTCCTCTTATAGAGCAACTCTGCTGACAAGGGACCTGTGCAGGGAGTAAGAGCTGGCCTTTCACCTGCTTTCTCAATCTGTTTTAAGACATGTAAAGGACATATCTTTGTTTAATGACACTGGATGTGTTAAAGAGATATGATCAATTTATAAATCACTCCGGTAGGATTTTTATGTATTTATTATTGTTACACGCAACACCTAAAATGGCTGTGACTGAAAGAGATTAGTAAATACGTTGCTGTTCTCCCTCCCCACCATTTGATTATAGGTAGTCAGTTTCTTCCAGTCTTTCATTCAGCAAAGGGAATAAATTTTCCTCTTTAAAAAAAAATCTGATTGTAAAACTGGCAGGGCAGGGGACTCAGGGGCAGATGTACCTGGAACTATTTAAAAAAAATTAGGGGTCAAATATTCAAAAGTGCATAAGGTACTTAGGAATGTAAGTCCCATTTTTAAAGGTGCCTGGGGTCCTTAGTCATTTTATGTGCTACAAGTAACAATAGTAAGAAAAAAAAGTTGCTTTTTTTTTTTTTAAGTTGCCAGTGACTCTTTAAGACCAAATGATTCAAATTAAACAAATAAAATATGCCAATAGGCAGTCAGGCTGGAACACAGAAGTCAGTCAACAATGACAGATTTAGGCCCCAATCCTGAAAATAATTATGCACATGAGTTGTCCCATGTAATCTATACATAACGTTAAATCTTAATTTTTTGCAGGAGTCGGACTATCAAAAGCTCCTCATTTCTAGTACTGCTCACCAAGATAGAAGAATACATGTACAGTATAAAGTTCAAAAATAGGTATACAATAAATTAAGCAAAGAAAATTTAGACTGAATACTAGGAAAACATTTCCTAAAAGTGAAACGAAATAGCCTTTTCGAACAACAGAAGGAGGTCTATTTGAAAAATGTTAATAAAATGGAGTTACACATAATTTCCACTACATTGATCTTGAACACTGTTAGATGGCTGGTGTGTATAGGGTCAAACTGTGTTCAAAACAATTTTTGAAGAAAACCGTAAGGCTAGGAGTCAAGTACCATTCACAAGGATGGGAACTCTGTTAAGGTCCATCCAGATCAGCTCCCCTCTGCTTGTTCAAGATGGGTCTGATGGAAACCCACATTTGTGAACTATTTTAAACACTGTTTTCGAATGTAGTTTATTTCTCATAGAAAATGGTGAAAGTCCCATCACTTGTGTACTTTAAAACTAAGACAGAATAATGCATTCAAAGATAGAGTGTTGGTAAAATCCTCTAGTGGCAGGGGATGGCCTAGATTATCTTGGTCTTCAATTTCTATTCTACGTTTAGTAAACTATGTTTGGAAACACTATTCTCCCACCCAACCTTTCAATGGTTATGCATTGTGTATATCAAAAAAGTAACCCTTTTACATTGCATTTATTTCAGCTGTGCTAGATAGCCAGTAAAATAGCTCAGAGAGTCAAGAGAAAGTCATTCTTCTTCCTGTGCTTGTTGACAAGGCCACTCTCCTAATTTAGTTCCCTCCTTAGTGGAGCTATTGCAATGTCTATAAGACACTATCCAATCACCACAGCTATTTAACAAAACCACAGCTTCTTTACTCTATGATGTTATGCTGTACACTAGCCTCTGCTGAGTACCCAAATTTAGCATCTTAACTAAAAATGGAAAGTTTGTCAGGACACCACTCTATATGCTCTAGTGTAAAATGGCAGCTGTGGCCCGTTTAAGTGTGAGTGTATTAAAGAATGGAGATTGTTAGTACATAGTTTGAGGCAGACTGCACATTTGCTTCAATTTATGCTAATGCCAGAATATTTCTGAGTCCAGTATCCAGGGTAATCTTGTTTCTTTTTTCTTCATAATTAACGTGACACTGGGATATAATGAAATTAGGTGTTGCTTCTTTCTTATATATACATTTGTTGGACAGAGACTATTACTTATTGTGTGGACCTCACCTGAGCACGACGGGAGTTGAAGGCACTCAGAACTGCGCAAAAAAAAGAAAAGTAGATTTGGTGACACTGAAACACTTTGCAAATCTGTGTCAATTTTGCATATTGCTTTGATTTAAAAAAAAAAAACTTTTAAATATTCTCCAAAAAATCAAAACAGTTCTGACATTTTCTAAACAAAATGTTAGAATGTTTTGACTTGAAACAACTTTTCATTTTGAAATTTCCTTCAGTTTTATTTTAACATGTTAAAATGTTTTAAAAATGGTCAAAATCTAAACAAACATCTGAACATATGCTTCCGGTCAAAGCGTTTTGTTTGACCTGAAATTAATTTTTTGACTTTTTGGTTTGCTAAAACATAACATGGAAAATTGAAACAAAAATATTGTGTTCTGGGTCAACCTGAAACAATTTTTTTGTGTTTTCTAGAATTGCCAGCAAACTGAAAAATCTGTTATCCAGCCAGCTCTAGCATTCAGTACATTGCTGCCTGGATTTGTTGGAGGCTAAAATGAGGAGTAAAGATATCAGGGCAATAAGGTAACATGAGGTAAAGAACATATTGGACCCTTATTTGTGGCTCTAACAATAAGATGTAACATTTTTAAGAAAAAATAATGGAACTAAATGAAAATGATTATAGATAGTCTAAACTGAAGATTTATAAGTAAGAAAAATGATTGTTTATTGGAAAATATTTTAGAACACTGCAAAGTACAAACTTCATATTACAGCTCAACTTTGTTTTTTGAAGACAAAACTTGAAAGTGCCAGATCTGCCCAAGGCAGCCTTAATTCATATACATTTGAAAAAAAAAAGTTCCTTTTAATATTCATAGACTGCTGCTTTTGAATATGAATTATTGTAAAATATGAATAGCTTTTTTCTGGCAAGCCCGCCCCATTTGTGATTTATACATCTCTTTTGACTGCACAGAAGAGTTTACTACTTATGCAAGGGTGACAGGAGTATGCTGAATGTGAGAAACTGATTTTGCAGTGTTTCATATCTTTTCAAATAAGGAGACATTCTTCCATAAATAGATCTCTGCACAGAAATACTATTTAAGTCAATATGCAGTGCTGGTGTAGCTGTGTTAATCCTAGGATATTAGGGAGAAAGTGGGTGAGGTAGTATCTCAGGACCTGAAGAGGAGTTTGGTGTAGTTTGAAAGCTTGTTTCTCTCACCAACAGAAGTTGGTCCAATAAAAGATATTACCTCACCGACCTTGTCTCTCTAATTTATGTGAACAGATATTTTGAAATTTTTAATTCAAAATACACTAATGCCAGGATATAGTGAAATTTGTGAAACAGAAGAGCAGCCCCTCTCTATATATAACTGTTTCACTGAATAGAGCACAATTAGTACATTTGCTTTTAAATTTAATGAGAATTATGCATCTAAATCCATTCAATCTGCTGAAAAATAGGTTATTTTATTCATATTTTTATGAAGCCCTATTACGGGTGAAATCTTTTTCACTCACATATCACTCATTTTTTCACACAAGAAATCTTATTAATTACTGTGTAAAGAGAAACTGAGTAACATTTTACTCACCAAAATTACAATTTTTGGCAATCACCAAAGCTAGATCCACATTTATTAGATTTCAAATACATTTGAGGAACCAAATCTATATTGTTTATTGGCTTCATGAAGACAATCTCATGTCTATATGGTATAGCGAAAAATAAACTGCTCCATTGCAAGTATTTTGATAGCATTTAAAATCTCTGAAATCAATTTTGTTAAAAACAAAAGTGATCATAAAGCCAAACAGCCCACTGAAATTAAAGTCATGTTGTACTTAAAGGATTAATTTTCTATCTACTGCATAGCACCTCTAATTGTGTCACCCAACCTAATATTTCACCATGCTATCCACTACATCTGTCACTGATTTGGTAAGTTTCCTCATCGAGCTTGCCATTTTGGAGATTTCCTGCCATTTTTCTGACTGAAGAGACTGACGTAACACATGCTTTGATTTCAGTGCTGACATATCCTGATCAAGCTGCAGCATCTTAGTAGATGTTTGCAAGAGTTCATTGTCCCTCCCAACAAGCTGTAACGGGGAAAATATTGTCAGTTGAAAAAGAAGGCCAGATGGAACAAAACCAAAAGCAAGCGAGTTAAGATTTTTAAAGTCTTATGAGTTATTGGATAGATATGTACTCATTTGATATTGTGTTTTAAAAACAGAGCAGAGTAATGAAAGGTTTCAGAGTAGCAGCAGTGTTAGTCTGTATCCGCAAAAAGATGAAGTGAGCTGTAGCTCACGGAAGCTTATGCTCAAATAAATTTGTTAGTCTCTAAAGGTGCCACAAGTCCTCCTTTTCTTTTTGCGAGTAATCAAAGACAGTGATTCAATTTTGTTAGAGATATTTAGTACATTTCACAGGCTATTTTTTGCCTTCTGATGATACATATATTAAAATTACACCATTTGGTTTAGTGAGAGCCTTAAGTGGTTCTCTGTTTGTCTGTCATTTGTGATCAACCTTAAATCCATTCTGCAGAGAGATTAAGGGCAAGATTCTACAGGATGCTGAGAACTCTTAAATCCCATTAACTTCCCACAGTTAATACTGAGGGATTGTGATGCATGGTTCACAACACAGCCCTAAGGATGACAATAAAATATCAGCACTGATTGTCAGTCCCCTGGGCTGAACGATCACATAGTAGGATGAAGCTGCAGCATAGGCATGAAGAGACTGCATGAGGAAAATGGCAGTCCACAATGAAAGTAGATGAGCCTTAACTCCTGTTAGGCCTGCCAAAAATTAGATCTATCACCAATAGGTGGGACAAGAGACTCCAAGGGTATGTCTACACAGCAAAGAAAAACCCAAGGCTGGCCTATGCAAGTCGACTCAGGCTCATGAGGCTTGGGCTGTGGGGCTGTTTCATTGCGGTCTAGGCCTCTGGGCTCGGGCTGGAGCCCAAGCGCTAAGACCCTGTAGAATGGAAATGTCCAAGAGCTCAGGCTCCAGCCCGAGCCAGAAATCTATACAGCAATGAAACACCCAAGCCAGCTGGCATGGTCCAGCTGTGATTTTTCTTTTTTTTTTCTGTGTAGACACATCTTTAGTCACATGCTTTGGCTGGAAATGCCAAGGTCATGCTTTGATTACTTTTACTCCAATAGGAGACTGGGAAAATATTAAGTTATACTTTAGGGCACAGCACTTATAATTTACTCCCTTACATTCATATTCAAAATGAGAATTAAAAACTCAATGTAGTTTTCATTTTCACTTGTTCTAAGTTCTTTTGCTTTTTATTTTTGTATCTCAAGTATACGTGGTGTTTAGCACAGTTCTGAAAAATAAAGAAACACAGGTTCCTAGGAAATGTCTATGTTACAAGTTACAGCAGACAACAGTCATAGAATAGTTGATGTAACGGATGCAATTATAATACTAGAGGATAGATTTACGGTCTTCTGTGCTTAGTGGGGATTTCCCCCAGGGAAAGGGAAAGTAGGGCTTTCCACTTCATCCTAATTTGAAGTTTTAGTAAGAGGGAAAGTGTGAACCTGTGCCAGGGGCTTTCCAGAAAGCCCTATCAGTGGGGTCCTACCAAATTCACTCTCCATTTTGATCAATTTTGTGGGCATAGGATTTTAAAAACAGTACATTTCATTATTTCAGCTATTTAAATCTGAAATTTCAGTGTTGTAATTGTAGGGGTCCTGACCCAAAAACGAGTTGTGTGGGGGGTGTGTGTGGGGGGGGTCACAAGGTTATTGTAGGTGGAGGTTGTAGTAGAGCTACCCTTATTTCTGCCGACGGCGCTGCCTTCAGAGCTGGACAGCTGGAAAGCGGTGGCTGCTGGCTGGAAGCCCAGCTCTGAAGGCAGAGCCGACACCAGCAGCAGTGCAGAAGTAAGGATAGCATGGTATGGTGTTGCCACCCTTCTACACTGCCTATGGAGCTGGGTCTTCAATCAGCAGCCGCCACTCTCCGGCCGCCCAGCTCTGAAGGCAGCAGCTCAGAAGTAAGGGTGGCATGGTATGGTATTGCCACCCTTACTTCTGTGCTGCTGCTGGCAGGGTGCTGCCTTCAGAGCTGGATGCCTGGCCAACAGCCACTGTTCTCAACCACCCAGCTCTGAAGGCAGCGCAGAAGTAGGGGTGGCAATAGTGCAATCCCCCAAAAATAATCTTGTGACCTCCCTGTAACTCTCTTTTGGGTCAGGACCCCCAATTTGAGAAACTCTGGTCAGCCCTGTGAAATATGCACACAAAAGACCAGATTTCATGGTCCTTGATGCATTTTTCATGGCTGTGAATTTGGTAGGGCCTTACCTATCAGGGACAGTGGGAATGCACTAAATTGTTTAATCAGTCTACCACTCACTTCAATGAAAGTTAGATTGGGCCCTATGTTTATTTTAAGGTTCGATTTCATCATATAGATTAGACAAAGCAGTTTACCTGGTTTTGTAAACTAGATACAAGATCTACCAACAAAGCTTTATCTCTTTGTAGTTCAATATTATCCTGTTCCTCTTTGTCCAGCATACCCTTCATTTCAGCTATTTGACTACATATTGTTGCAACATTTAAATCAAGAGATGTGCTTCCTTGTTCCAAAATATGAATCTGTGAGAAGAACAAGCCAGGGTCAAGATCATAAAAGACAAAAATATATACGTATGCTAACTATGTACATGCACAAGCCCACGCAAGCTGGAATATTTTTCAATTTCAAATACAAGTGACTCCTTACAGAAATGCTTCCTGTCATGTAAGCTTTTGGAACATTTGGGATTACCTCTCCCATATTTTGTTTATCTAAAACAAACAAACAAAAAAATCAATTTCCAATTTAAGTAAAGGGCGATACTGATTTCTGAGCTTGGGATCACTCTCTGGGATCAAGCATCTGCAATCAAAGTTTGGTCTTCCTCACTTCAGAGGCCTAAAGACATAGTTTTTCTCATTATGCACCTACCCACATGCCGCCAGCATCAACAAATGTTACTTTCAGACTGTGACCAACTTTTAGGAGCACTGTGAATGGTGAACTATAAATTAAACAGAATGTTAAACTAACTGCAGCTTACAACCTCTTTACCAAATAAACCTATCACCTCCATGACAAGTCTGTGTTCTGCTGGCCTGGGGTGTGAGAATCCAGAACTACGTTCCCATTCCAGCTTGGTTTTATATATGACAATTACTTTGCAGTAGTGGGTTTATTTGCCAACTAATTACCAAACTCAGGGCCAGTTATCAGAGCTCTATTTTTGTCCTCAGACAGACTTGCTGCATGGTATCCAATTGGGACAATTAGGGTCTGCCTACATAGCTGCTGGGAGCAAATCTTGCAGTCTGAGTCTACAGATTTGTGCTAGTGGGGTCACATTAGCGTGCTAAAAATAGCAATGGAGACAGATGTTCCAGCTCAGGCTTCAGAGCCTGTGCTCCAGCATAGGGCGGGAGGTGGGCTTCAGGGTCTGAGCTCGAGCTTAAATGTCAAAGCAATGTCTATGCAGCTATTTTTAGCATGCTCACTCAAGCCCCTCTAGCATGCGACTGTCAACCCAGGCTGCAAGACTTGCTCCCAGCAGCTGTGTGGACATATCCTTAGGATCCCCAGAGAGCTGCTATACCACTTCTTTATTTTGTGTTTGTTCAGTACCTAGCACAATGGGGACTTGGTCCATGACTAGGTACTATGATAATAATACTACTATATCAAAAGGACTAAAGACTTGTTAAGTGATATTCAGAGCTTCCTTAGAAGTGGTATTTGCTGTTACCTTTATTATAACAGGGAGCAGTTCTCATAATGCCATTAGCTGCAACAATAATAAATCAACACTGATTTTCTTCAAGAGCTATAACTAAGGCTACGTGTCTGTCACGGAAGTCATGGATTCCATGACTTTCCATGACCTCTGTGACTTCTGCAGCAGCCGGTGCTGGTCCAGGGGCTGCCCGAGCTGGGCAGCTCCTGGGCCAGCAGCAGCAGTTTGGGTGTGTGGGAGGGGGCTGGGGCAGGGGGTTGGGGTATGAGGCGGTGCATACCTTGGGCGGGCTCCCCGGCTCCCACCAGCATGTCCTTGCAGCTCCTAGCCGTAAGGGCCAGGGGGCTCCGTGCGCTGCCCATGCCTGCAGGCACCACCCCCGCAGCTTCCATTGACTGTGGTTCCTGGCCAATGGGAGTTGCGGAGCCGGCACTGGTGGTGGGAGCAGCGTACAGAGCCCTCCAGCTGCCCCTCCCCCTAGGAGCTGCAGGGACATGCCAGTTAGAGCTGAACAGGGAGCCTGCCAGTCCCGCCAACCCTCCCTCCCCAGCACCAGTGAGGGTCCCGGGCCGCCTCCCCAGAACACCCACAGCCCCCTAGCCCAACGTTTAGTTAGGGGTATATAGTAAAAGTCATGGACAGTCATGGGCTGTGAATTTTTGTTTACTGCCCATGACCCATTCACGACTTTTACTAAAAATACCCGTGACTAAAATGTAGCCTTAGCTATAATCAGAGCTAGAAAGAAGATTCAATCCAGGGACTTGGTTATTTTGTATTAATGACTTATTATGCAATCATATAAAAACACCAAGATCTGAGGGCAACAACAAAAAAAAGGGTGCTATTACTTGAAGGCAAACCCCCGAACTGGCTGACAGCATCCCTAGAGATGTCATATTCTGTCTTTGCATATTCTGTCTTTCTGAAAAGTGGGAAAGTGCTGCGATGGTAGCTACATATAGCAGGAGTCACAGGAAAACAGGGATAAAACACAGTGACTGGCAAACACAGAATGGCAAAGTCAGCCATGAAGAGATGACTCCAACTTCAGATCATGAGAAAGAGTCTGGAGTCATGGCTTCTGGAGGCCCGTGACCTCTGAATAATAAATAAAACGGCTCCAAACAGAAAGAACCAGTACACTTTTGATTCATGGTGCTGGGTCAGCAGTACCATAAATGGAAAAAATAAATCTTACCACTAGACCTTCCTTCAATTAGTAAGGCAGAGCACTATGGATCTGTTCCATTTCCCATTGAAATAAATGAAGAGACTCCTGTTGACTTCAATGGGAGCTGGATCAGGTCCTGCAAGCAAAGTGGAGTATACCTCTTCTTAACAAACGAATCTAGAAGAAAAGAATATGATTCCCTATCTTTGGATGAACAGTGAAGATGCATTTAGAAAGCCAGTGTAGTCAGAGACAACCTTTTCCATAAGGTCTTGCAAGCTTTTCTTTTCCTGCTGCAAGAGCTCTTGGTGCATCTTGATCTCATGTTTCAGATGCTCTTCTTGGTCTTTTACTGTGAGAAGCTGAGTAAAGCTGGAAGACTGAAATGTATAACTCTCTTCCCTGAGGGCTCTCTCCTGAAATACATCATAAAAGCACAACTGGATCAAAATATATTAAAATGAAGTAAGGTTGTTGTGATGCTTCCTAGAAGCCCCCAGGATTATGAAGAAATTCGCTACCACCTGTTCTTAGCATGAGGAAGCCTTGCCTGTGCCTGCCATGCGTCAATTCCCTGATTCCACTGGCCACAGGTAATGCAAGCACTCCCCTCTTAGCCTATGCAGGCTCTGCTATAACCTCTGCAAGTTAGTGACAGGCACTCTCCAAAACCTGAGCTATCTGAGCATCTCCCTGGACTGTCCAGCCCCTACTCCAATAGACACTCACAGAATTCAGAGATTTGCTGTTCCCAAAAGGAACAGTACCCCCATCTTACCAGTTAGACCTTAGGTCACTTCTCCTCTTAACACACAGCACTTAGCTGTGTTTATAGTGAAAACAAATATCAAGTATTTAAAGAATAGAGATTTGAGAAGTCACAAGTAAAAGTATTGGAAACAAATGATTACCTGTAAAAAAAAAATCGTAACACACATTCTACAGCCTAGGATTAATTAACAAGATATCTTCCTGTCTAATGAAGTTTAGCTCACCCAAAGTCTTCGCAGTGTTTTCCAGCCAGGTTGGCTATAACCCTCCTTTCATAAGCCAGAAGACACTGACAGTTCATCTCCTTGGTGTGCCTCAGTAGTCCCCAGTTATTCCCCAAAAGTCTTTACTCAAACAGGATACCCCTTTGTGGTTTCATTTTTTTCATGCAGATTTTCTCTCATGATTTCACAGTCTCTTCATTAGCTTTAGGCTCAATACAAATAGGCTTCCATTGCGAAGTGGACAATATACAGAAAGATAACTGTCTATTACTCCTTGCCTGATGGAACCTGTCCAAGGCATGTCACCTCCTGGTGGCCTGGCTTACCTTAAGAACATAATTTTCAGTATAGATACATAACTTTAATATTACACTTCAAAATCTTTTTTTCTAAAATATATGTAAGACTAACTAGCAAAAATCTCAAAAAACAACAGCAATTTTTTAACCAGAAGCAGGAAGCCTGCCAAACAGTCAGTGGAGCCACTGGACGATGAAGGTGCTAAAGGACCACTCAAGGAAGACAAGGATGTTGAGTGAAGAAGCTAAATGAATTCTTTGCATTGGTCTTTACACACCTGAACCATTTTTTTAAGGTTACAAATCTGAGGAATTGTCTCAAGTTTGAGGTGTCAACAAAGATGGTTTTGGAACAAATTGATAAATTAAACAGTAATAAGTCACAAGGACTAGATGGTATTCACCCAAGAGTTCTGAAGGAACTACTAACTGTGGTATGTAACCCATCACTTAAATCAGCCTCTACCAGATGACTGCAGGGTAGCTAAGGTAATGCTGATTTTTAAGAAAGGCTCCAAAGGTGATCCTGGCAATTACAGGTTGAGGGAAGAGGTTACTATACCCTTGAGGAACCTCTTAGTGGTTGGGTGTGACAGCATGGAGTACCCTTCTACAGGTTGGTGAAAAGCTGTTATAGCCTCTAGGTGGACCCTAAGAGAGCTTAGAGATAGACCCGACTTTTTTAGGGTCAAAGAATAATGTGGAAGAGTCGCAGATGTTGGGGAGATTTATTGGGACATGCACCAAATCTGTAACCTGGAGCATTTCTGCAGGTAAGTTACGTCATGTCGAGGACTTTCTGCTGTGTAATAGAACCTCTTGTACCTCTCGAACAGGAGCTTTCTAGGTGTTGGAACCAAGCAGTAGCCAAGCCTTGAGGCAGAAAATCCCCAAGTCGGAATTCCAGGTACATCCTCTATTCTAACAGAGATGCAGAATGGCCGGGAGAGAGATCAGCGGGCACATCGCGAGCTGTGACAGGTAAGGATACCACTAAGTCTGTCTCGACCAAATGGATAATCAAAATGACATGAGCTCCATCCCTTTTTATTTTCAGCAGGACATTCAGCAATAGGAGTAATGGGGGGAAGGCATAGAGAAGGACCCTGTCCCAGGGGAGGAGGAGATCATCACCCAGGGAATGTTGTCGCATCCCTGCTCTGGAGCAGTAGCATGGACATTTCTTGTTCAGGGAATAAGTCTGTGGACAGAGTCCCCCATTGTCTGAATAGGTTGTGAAGTACTGTCGGGTGTATCTGCCGCTTGTGGTCATGTGGGAATTTGTGACTGAGACTGCCTACTGTCGAGTTTTGTGCGTGCAGGAGGTAAGCCACAGAAAGTGTAACGTTGTAGGAGATGCACCAATTCTATAGCCTCATTGCTTCTGTGCATAGGGAGGGTGACTTGGCTCCCCCCTTGCTGATTGATGTAGTATATGCAGGCTATGTTGTCTGTTAGGATCTTTGTGCATGATCTGGTGATCAGTTGGAGGAAATGGGTGCAGGCATTCCTGACCTCTCTAGCTCAAGATTCATGTGAAAGGCTCTCTCTGTGGACGACCCTTTACCTTGCATCGTGAGGCTGTTTACATGCACGTTCCACCCTATGAATGATGTGTCGGTGGTGAGGAGCAAAAATGGCGATGCTTGTGAGAAGGGGATCCCTTTGCAAATGTTGGCTGGGTCTTTCTACAAGTCTAGGGAGTCTTTGCCATTCTCTTTGCCAGCTCCTGGAAAAGACAAAAGTCGTCTGTCAGAGATAGTGGGGAAGGCATGACAGCTTCAGCTGGAGAAGAGGATATGGTCCTCGGTGTCACTTCCTCCTCGGTACCGGCTTCCTGTTTGTCTACGTCTTAAGGCAGTTCTGAAGTCCTGGATGCTGTGGCCAACGGGGTGTGCCTCAAGGGTTCTCAGGTGAGGCTCGAAGCCTGAGAGGCATGCTGGTGGTGCGCTGCCCAAGGTTCCCAATATGGCCATTGGAGTAGTGGTGGCATAGAGCCCAGTGGTGGTGCCCATGGGTAACCAAGATAGTGGCAGTGGGGCCATCTGCGGGTATATCCTTGGGCTCTTCTGGTAGTGACAACCATATGGAGCTCCAGAGGAGTAATGCAACACTACCTCCTCTGATTCACTGTCTGAACACCTGCTAGAGAGTGGAGGAGCATGGCATGGCAGCGAGGATACTTCCTGCACTTAGCAGAGGCTCGGTGCAGAGGTCTCGGCACTGAGGGGCAGAGACTCTAGTGCATCTGGCATGCAGAGGTCCCTGGAATGGGGTACCAATACGTCCCAGTGTTGGTGGTGGTGCCTGGGAGGAAGGAGAAGGGAAGGGAGAATCTTGTCTGCACTGGTCGCTTCTGTACCGAGCAAGCCATCGCTGGTGGTGCTGATGTGGAGTCGTACACTGAGAGCGTCTTTTTAGAGGAGTGCTTATCCTATCCTTCAGTGCTGATGACTCGGTGCCCATGCCCATCAGGTCCGTGGGCCTGTCAATGGTGCCAGTTGTGGGTTTCCTTGAGCCATGGGTGCTGAACTGAGATGGTCTTGGTGCTGGCAGTGCCGATGATACTGAGCAAGATGGTGATCACTTATGGCTATCTTGGGGCTCACTGTGGGGCCTTCCCACTCTCTTCTTAGAGGATTTATGAGAGGGGTCCATAGCCTGTTTCCTTGACCCAGAGCCCTTAGCTATAGAAGGCTTTGGGGAAGACTCACATCTACCAGGCAACTGGAGTCAGAGAGCTGCCTCCATGATGATCTCATGGCAGATCTCTCTATCTTTGAGGGATCTTGGCGGGAGTTGTTGGCAAAGACCACACTTTTATTGTATGTTGCCTTCCCTGAGGCAGCAAATGCACTGAGTGCTTGTCTGCAACTGGGATCGCCACTTTACAAGTAAGGCATTTTTTGAAGCCTGGTGGACTGGGCATAGCCCATTGCGGGAAAGGGTTCCTGATGGGGAGAAAAAGTGGAAAAGAAATTAAAGGTTTACGGTGGCGGGGTTGTTTTTTTCCTAAGGGTAAAATAAGCAGAAGGAGAAGAATACTATGACTACAACTAGAACTAGGAGACTAACCATAGGTATGTAAAATTAAACAATGGACTTAACGGACTGCTAATGCCTCCGTCTCTAGCTAGGGCAGTTGAGAAGGAACTGAGGGAGGTTTGCCTGCATGAACTGGATAGCTTTGTGGCGCAGCACAAGGAGAGACTGCACGTGTGTGGGCCTAATGGACACAGCTACCAAAGTTCTCCAGTCAGCAGTGCAGGAACACAAACACACCTACAGTAGAGCACTCATAGGGACACGACTTGAGAAGAACTGATTTTGTTTCTATAGAAGGTAAAAATAAACTACACAACTGGATTTGGAGAAAAAACAAAAACTCTTAGGAGTCCTTTTTAAGGGAGTCAGTCAAGGAAGTTTAGCCAAGATTTATCTTACATATCTGGAAATTCTTACTAACTTGCTGCAAATATTCTCAGATGCTAAAATATTTTTCTTTTAAAAACCAACACACTGGCAATGAAAATGTAAAAAACTAATCATTTATCTAGTACCTTCACATCTGATTAAGCAGCTGCCATCCCCTCAGTTACTAAGGAGTCCTAGCTGCCACTACCTAAACTGTCATTTTAACAATACCCACCCAAATCTGTCATCTGATTTTGTGGCCAGGTCAAGGGGATTATTCCTAATGGCTGATCTCAGATATGGTGATTTCTGAGGCAGCCTGAGTTCTAGTAGAATGAGCTTTGATATTTGAAGAGACGAGTGTTATCAGCCATGTGATAAAATATTGAAATATACTGCGTAATCAATTTAAATATTCTCTGGGAAGAAATGGCTCATTCTTTAGAAGCACAATTTTTGGCTTTGGAAAGAAAATGAAGAGATAAATAGATTCATTTAAGTGAAAATCTGAAACAACTTTGGGAATAAACTTAGAATGAGGTCTCAACAACGGCTTATCTCTGTTGAAATTTGTGTAAGGAGTGTTGTACGCCTGGCTTGACATGAATAATTAAACATAGGAGAGGCCTCATTTCTTGGAAGACAAGATTAGGGAGGTAAATAGATCAGCAGGCTGAAAACAGAATGTTTTTGCTAACTAGGATAAGTAAATGGGTCAATGCACTAGAGACAGAATGTCTGAGCTAGCTAACATAAGAGGAGAAACACCGAGGGAACCATTTACTAAGAATAAGATAAAAATGGACAAGATGTGTCAGGAAAGCATAAGGATGAGGTAAAGAGTAAAGTCATACATGGATAGCATGTGGACTAAGCATGCTGTATGAGAATTGGTTCTTGCAAAGTAACCAAGCCAATCCCAAAACATGTGATGCAATGTACAGTAAATTTAATGAGATGTGCAAATGTATATAAAGGAGGAGGGTTTCTGTGTACCTTTGGATCTGTAAAGTACCCTGCAACCACCTCCTATGTTTGAGTCTGATCAACTCAGTGTAGCTTTTCTGTATGCCAAATAAAGATGCATGAGTGATGAAGTCCAGAGTCGAATTGAGTTCTTGAGAAGCTGAGTGAAAGAGGTCTCTGAGGGAATTCCAACAAGGAGGAGAGCTTAGTGTTTGCTGACCCTTGTGACTGACATAATGGTGACCAAATGGTCAGTCACAAGAATAAAGTCTAGACACCATCCAGAAAGAATGAGACCTGAAAGGGAAACATTAAGATCCCACATAGATTGGGCTCCTCCTAATTGATTCATAAGTGTGAAGCAATCCTTTTAAAAATCAGGTTACAGTAGGGTGGGAAAATATGGCTGGATGTGAGAGTTGCATGCCAAAAATCTCTGCAAGGTGGACTTAAATGGAACTGACAGAGTCCAAAGATGCAGGATGTAATCAAGGATCTTAGGAAAAGGAGCCTTCAAAGATCAAGGTTGTCTTGACATGATTAAACTGAAAACCTTTTCCACTCTGAGGACTAAGTTTTTCTCATGGAGGGCTTCCTGCTTTGCAGCTGGATTTTCCTTGTATCTGTAGTGAAGTCTCTCTGAGTAGCACTTAACAAGCCTACATCCAGGGTTTGGGATTAGGAATTTGACCTGCAATATTATGCATGGAATGACATAGCGAGTGGGGTCCTGCAGGGATGAGTACTGGGTCCGGTTCTGTTCAATATCTTCATCAATGATTTAGATAATGGCATTGAGAGTACACTTATAAAGTTTGTGGACGATACCAAGCTGGGAGGGGTGGCATATGCTTTGGAGGATAGGAATAAAATTCAAAATGATCTGGACAAACTGGAAAAATAGTCTGAAGTAAATAGGATGAAATTCAATAAGGACAAATGCAAAGTACTCCACTTAGGAAGGAACAATCAGTTACACACCCACAAAATGGGAAATGACTGCGTAGGAAGGAGTACTGTGGAAAGGGATCTGGGGGTCATAGTGGACCACAAGCTAAATATGATTCAATAGTGTAACGCTGTTGCAAAAAAAAAGCAAACATAATTCTGGGGTGTATTAGCAGGAGTGTTGTAAGCAAGACACTTAGTAATTCTTCCTCTCTACTCCGCACTGATTAGCCCTCAACTGGAGTATTGTGTCCAGTTCTGGGCACCACATTTCAGGAAGGATGTGGACAAATTGGAGAAAGTCCAGAGAAGAGTGACAAAAATTATTAAAGGTCTAGAAAACAACCTATGTTGGAAGATTGAAAAAATTGGGTTTGTTTAGTCTGGAAAAGAGAAGACGGGGGCAGGGGGAGATGATAACAGTTTTCAAGTATGTAAAAGGTTGTTACAAGGAGGAGGGAGAAAAAAAATTGTTTTTCTTAACATCTGAGGATAGGACAAGAGTGATGTAGTGGTGGGAGTCTGCTATAGACCACCGGACCAGGGGGATGAGGTAGATGAGGCTTTCTTCCGGCAGCTCATGAAAGCTACTAGATCGCATGCCCTGATTCTCATGGGTGACTTTAATTTTCCTGATATCTGCTGGG